TTCCAGTTATCTCCATATGAGGGTACAGCTCTAAAACTCAGTTTAATGGTTCTGAGGCTGGCTAGTAGTAAGGTTTACCGAACTCTGTGGTAGCTCTCAGAGAGGCTGATTCCATCAACAGCTGCAAAATATCAGAGTATTAAGAGTGTCATGTTGCGCATGGATGGTGTCCCTGTTAATGCTTTTGGTGTGCATTGTCAGGGCCACATAAGGAGCCCTATGTCACGGCTTAGGGTTAATTAACAGGACCGAGACAACTGCATAGCTCATTGATTAGGAGGCTGTGCCTCCTAATCAATGAGCTATGCAGTTGTCTCGTTAAGTCTTACCTACTGCAAAATTCACCAGACTTGCTTGCACTCAGTGAAACAAATTTAAATTCTGCAATTCCTTCTTCAGATGTCAGTGTTGATGGCTACTATCCTTTGATTCGTAAAGACTTAAATAGTCACACTCTAGGTTTAGGGGTATACATACGCATTAATTCCCCTATTTGTCGTGAAATCAGGTTCGAATCCTTCGACCATTCTTTTATGTGCTTTCGCGTAGCAACTCTTCACTCTATCACCTTTCTCTTTGTTCTTTGTCGTTCTCCTTCTTCCCATGATTGCAATATCTTAGATGTTATTTCTGATCAAATTGACCATGCCCTCTCTCTTTACCCCTCTGCCAATATTGTTGTTGTTGGTGATTTTAATGCCCATCACACTGAATGGCTTGGTTCTAACACCACTGATCCTGCTGGCACTAAAGCCTTTAACTTCTGCGTTTCTCAATCTCTTACTCAGATAGTTAACTTTGTGACTCGTTTTCCTGACAACCCTAATCATTTACCTTCACTCCTTGACTTATGTCTTGTCTCTAATCCTAGCTTATGTTCAGTTTCTCCCTTTTCTCCCTTAGGTGGTTCTGACCATGCAATGATCTCTATAAATCTTTTTTTCTCGTACTTTGGGCTCACCTTATCATCGCACCACCTACTACTACTCTAAGCTGACTGGGATTCCTTTCGTGATTTTCTTCGTGATGGTCCTTGGGCTGATGTTTTTTCTCTCTCAGCTGACAAATGCGCCTTCTACGTAGCCTCCTGGATTCAGGCTGGAATGGAAGCTTTTATTCCTTTGCGTCGGTTTCAAGTCGAGCCTCATTCTACTCCATGGTTTTCTCCATCTTGTGCGGCTGCTATATCCAATCGTAACCATTTTTTTCATCTTTTTCAAAAGAACAACTCTCTTGAGAACAAACGGCTATTTATTATTGCAAGAAATCGATGTAAAAAGGTGCTTTCTGATGCTAAACTCCATTATTTTCAGTTCACTAAATCTCGCATCTTATCGCAGAAGTTAGGCTCTAAAGACTTTTGGAAAATCTTCAATAGCATTATTAACAAGGGTAGATTTAACATTCCATCTCTCATTCATGGGACTGATCTTATTACCTCTCCCAAGGATAAGGCAGAACTATTTGCAAAGAACTTTTCTTCTAACTCCACTCTTGAATCTTATGGACATTCTCTTCCTTCCATTCCAGTCAAACAGGTTGACCCATTGTTAGACATTCAAATCACTCCGGCTTCTGTTGCTAAAGTCATATCTCAATTAAACTCGTCTACAGCTTGTGGTCCAGACAACATTCCTGTCACAGTCTTGCAGAGTTGTTCTCCAGAACTTTCTTCAATTCTCTCTAAACTATTTAACAAGTGTTTGACTGAGTCTTGTTTTCCTGCTTGTTGGAAAATAGCATCTGTGGTTCCAATATTCAAAAACTCTAGAGAAAATTCTGACCCCTCCAATTATCGTCCGATCAGTCTTCTTTCTGTTATTAGCAAGGTCTTTGAGTCTTTGATCAACAAATTCCTCACATCTCATCTTGAGTCAAATAAACTACTGTCAGACAATCAATACGGTTTTCGATCCTCTCGCTCTACGGCCCACTTGCTAACTGCTGTAACTGAAAGATTTTATCGTGCATTAGATGGAGGCGGTGAGGCTAGGGCTATTGCTCTCGACATATCTAAAGCTTTCGACAAAGTTTGGCATGCTGGTCTTCTCCATAAGCTTGCTTCATATGGTGTTTCTGGAAAAGTTTTTGAGATTATCAAATCATTTCTTTCTGACCAGTTTATTAAAGTCATCTTTGAAGGCCAACACTCTTCTTTATTTCCAGTAACTTCTGGGGTTCCCCAAGGTTCCATCCTGGGCCCTGTTTTGTTTCTTATCTACATAAACGATCTTCCTGACAATCTTTCATCTAAAGTAGCTCTTTTTGCTGATGACTCAACTTTATACTCCTGTCTTGACAATAAGTTTTCTCTTTTCGATCGCCTAGAACAAGCAGCTGATCTTGAATCCGATCTCACTTCAGTAATAGATTGGGGTTTACAGTGGCTTGTGAATTTCAACTCTAAAAAAACCCAGTTGCTTACTGCAAACAACTACCGTAATATGATCAACATTCCTATATTAATGAATGGCAATCCTTTTACTGAGTCGTCCTCTTTACGTCTTCTTGGATTATCGCTTACTACTGACCTTTCATGGAAACCATATATACAATCGATTGCTAAATGAGCTTCTGCTAAGGTTGCTTCTCTTTATCGTGCTCGCCATTTCCTTACTTCTGATTCCATTCTCTACCTCTACAAATCTCTTATTCGTCCCTGTATGGAATACTGTTGTCATATTTGGGCTGGTTCTTCTAACGATTCACATTCTCTTCTTGACAAGGTCCAAAAACGCATTGTTAATATTGTTGGAACTGGACTATCTGCTAAGCTTGAACCTCTTTCCCAACGTCGTAAAGTTGCATCTCTTTCTCTATTCTACAAATACTATCATTGTCACTGCTCAAAGGAGTTATCATCTCTAGTACCATCAACTAAAATTCATTCTCGTTTTACTGGTCATTCAGCTAAGTCTCATTCGATTACTGTATCTGTCCCTGCATGCTCTAAAAACTTTTATTCATCTAGTTTTTTTCCCCCCACTTCAATCCTTTGGAACTCTCTCCCATCTTCATGTTATCCTGACTCATACAACCTTCAACTTTTCAAGTCTTCTGTCGACCGTTTCCTTGCTCTATAACTCTGTTCTTTTTTTTCCTAGTAACTCCCAACTATATATAATATATATATATATATATATATATATATATATATATATATATATATATATATATATATATATATATACATATATATATATATATATATATATATATATATATATATATATATATATATATATATATATATATAATATATATATATATATATATATATATATATATATATATATATATATATATATATATATATATATATATATATATATATATATATATATATATATATATATATATATAAAAAGGAACGAAAATGGGAAAATTTGTTTTTTGAATTATTGGGGTAGTTTATATCAAAGAATACTACTCCATATTCAACTTCTTTCCACTATCCATTAATGCCTTTTTTTAAATAGTCAGCTTATTTTTCTAAAAGTTTTTGATATTCATTGCTATTCTTTTCAATCCATGTAAATGATATTTTTGTATCATTAAATAGACATTAAATGCAATGGTTAGTAGAATTTGTAAAGTATTGAAACACCATTACATAACTTTTTTTCCCTCCTTTAAATATCTTTTTGGTTGGTTGCGGATTGTTGCATTAAAAATAATATTATCTGAATGATTGAAACTTGTCAATATATTTTGAAATTTTTTATTTTGATGTCATAACAATTTTGTTATTTTTTTGGCTTTTCTGGTACCTCAGGTTTTCTGATAATATCATAAGACCTTACTTCAAATATGAACTTCTGTGACTCATTTGGTCATTTTTTATGTTATAATATTGATATATATATATATATATATATATATATATATATATATATATATATATATATATATATATATATATATATATATATATATATATATATATATATATATATATATATATATATATATATATATATATATAGATTGTCTAATAAAAAAGGTATCGAAGATTGTACTTTTCTACAAGCATATATCATATTGGCTAAAGTTTTGTCTTGTGCTTTGGATTATTGAGATATTTTGTCTTCACCGTCTTTTCCGCTGAACTTTTTTCTTATAAAATCCGCTATTTTAAATGTCGCTTGCTTTTTTTTTGTTTTTCTTTTGTATATTTGTACAAATTGTTTTCTGTAGTCCTTTTGCAATGTTTTCATATTTTAAATCTAACGGTTTTTTGACTTGTATAAAAGTTTATAAATAGTTAGCATTGCAGTAATTTTATATTAACATATTAAAAATTAGAGAGCTTTTTAAAGCCATATTTTAGTTAATCTTGTCAAATTTTATTTTGCTATTAAATAGTCAGTCCAGCAATAGTTTTATTAGGTCTAGTTTGTGTCAAACTTAATAAGCTATCCTGAAAAAAAAAATGGTATTTTTTTTTTTAAAATCAGGTGCAGGTACAAAAGTAATTTTGATGAGTTTTTTTTCTTGAGGAATAAATAATTTCGTCAATCACTTTTGTAACTATTATAAACGAAAGATTTCGTGCATTAGGTACACGATTGTTGCATTGAAAAGTAAGAATAATAAAAAAACATGCAGATAAAAAATTTGTTTCAGAAAAAAATGCAAAATTTGGTGAATCACCGGAGATAATTTTTACTTTCGTTTTTTAAAAGTAAATTCAAAAATCGTGTGTGGTGCGTCGCACATTTTTGAATTATTTATATTTGTTTTAATAGAAATTAAATTTATAATGACAAAAGCAACAGTTTAACTAAATGCACTTTGTCTACAATTTACATTATTTATTTTTATCAATTCTATCCCATACTACTTTTTATTAAAATTAATGATGCATTTTTGTCCCACTCGTAAATCTCATAAATATTTATTCAACAATACCATAGTAACATCGTCATCGTCATGGTAATTTTCTTAAAATTATTATTACTAAAATAAAAATTGTGCCGAATAATTTACTAACATTTAGAAAAAAATCCAGGAGCTATATTTTGAAAAGCAACGTTTTTTTAAAACTTGTTAATGTATCTAGTAAGAAACTTTTTATAAACTATTTTTTTTTAAATAATTTTTAAAGTTGTTTGGATTTTTTTTAGATAGAACCTATCAGTGGCGGATTAAGACTTCTTGGGCCCGGGGCTATTTTTGTTTTTGGAGGCCTTTTTATGAGCCAGAGCCTAATGGTGACTAAAAAAAAAAAGAAAAGAAAAAAAGTCTTCTAAAATTTTTGAGCTATAGCCCCTAGCCCCCCCTTGATCCGGCACTGGAACCTATTGAAGTTGACTATCACGTTTTTAGAGCAAACGTTATACAGCTCTTAACAAAACAATTACTGTAATCAATAAGTTCAAAAATTTTACATGATCTAATGTCATGTTTCAAAACTTTTCGTTAAAAACAAATAGTCGTAAAAGATTTTAGTTTATCCCCATTATCAAAACTAAACGTAAAAAAGTTTTTTTTGCATATATAACACATAAGAATTCTTTTGATCATTTTTAAAAACAAAAATAATATGAACAATGGGCCAAGAACGCGTTTTTTGAACTGGGAGGAGGTAAAACAATCGTAAAAGTTTCTAAAAAAAAAAAGTTCCTCTAGAAAATAAGTGGATAAGCATGTGTCCTACTGGACCGCCGCACAGTCGGACGAAATCCTGATTTCGTGGCCAAAAGTCAAATTTTTGAGTTTTATATTTTCGTCTTTTTACGTTCAGATCTTGTTTACAGATAGTCCTCGAACAAAATTCTAAACCGGGCAGGTATATACCTGTTCTAGGGTGGCCTGGACATCAGTTGACATTGAGCCTCCGTTTGGTACGCACAAAACAATTGGACACGCCGAAAAAGTCTTGCCTGTTTTAAAGTGTTGTTAAACTAAAGAAACTATTTCAATTAGAATTTGACAAAATGGAATCACTTTTTGGAGGTATGAAGAATATATGGTTATGCACAGTTATTGCTAATTTTAATTGTTTTAATATTTAAATTGCGCGACATGTAAACATAAAAAATTGTAATTTTTTTTTCTAAAATCGATTTTCTTATGATTTTTTAAAAATTTAACCGCGGTTATTCACCTTCTTTCGACAAGGAATCGATAGTGTATAGTGTTAAATATAACAATTGATAGTGTATAGTGTTTAATACAATAATTTATTATTTATAATATATAGTATTGTCAAGAAAAGGTACATTCTTTATGGTGAAAGACAATTTAAGGTGGTAGCCTTATAAAAAATGAGGAAATAAAATTTTTTTTAGAAATTTTTTTTTTATTAAAATAGTTCCTTGTATACCACTACTTTCATTCCCGAAAAAATTAAATCATCTACCATACCTTTTTCGTAATTTTTGATAAATTTTTAAGCTATCCATTTTTGGAAATATACATAGCAACGCCCTTAGTTACCGTTTAAAATGATCATGGTCTAATGTAATCCCTTCAAGTAGTTCTTATAACTCTTTTTTCGTTTAACGATGTTCAAAAATCTAATCAATATAAAGATCATAATATTACCCCAATCAAGCTCGAGTGTGTTGGTCACGCACAAGCTTTTCAAATCTTATAAAAACACTAAAACACATTTATCTGGTATAGGAAAATTTACTAATAAGTGCATTGACTCTATGCTAAATTATTATGGCCTAGCCATTTGTAATAATTTTTGAAAATTGTATGCCATGAAGAAGGCAATATTATCAATCTCTTTTCATTTCACTGACCTACCAGATCCTTTCAATTGTCATTAATTTTTCCCACAAAATGCTGGAAATTGGTGCATGTGTTGGTGAAAAACTTAAAACATGATAACATTGAAAACTTAAAACATGATAACTTAATATTGGATAGAGTATTTCCTTTGAAATTTTCAGGATATGCTCACAACATAAATGCACTCCATTTAACTGTCAGAATTTTTATGAATTACTCTTAATATTGATTTATAGACCTAAACGTTTCAAAACATATCACAAAACCATTGAAAATGTATAGGTTCATCCAAAAACGTTAATAACTTTAACATTTTGATTTAGGAAAAATCTGAGTGCTAATAGACTATCTGGGTGTACTGTATAATGTCTTAAAGTTTAATTGAAAACAGATAAAGAGAAACTGACTTACAGAATTTTATCTTAACATAAGAAGCGCTAAAGCAAATTTTAAAAACTTTAAAATATTCTTAGAGGAAAGCAATTTTATTTTCAATATAATTTGTTTAAGTGAAACTTAGCAAACTGATGATGCATATAGCGAAAGTTGTCGGTTTGACTTACTAGAATATGACGCAATTCACTTACAAAGAAAGTCTAAAAAAAGAGGTGGTGGTGTTGTTGTTTACGCCAAAAATAGCTTGCGGTTTAAAATGCGAAATGACATGTGCATATCTGAATGCAACGGCGAATTTGTTTCGATTGAAATAGTTAATGATAAGACCAAAAATATTTTAGTAACTTGTTGTTACAAACCGCCAAATGCGTCCACAGAAAATTTCTTAAATCATCTCCAGAATATTATTCAAAAAGTTTCTCTAGAAAAAAAAAAAACTGTTTGTCTTAGGTGACTTTAATATTAACGCCCTAAATTATGACAATGATATAGAAAGTCAAAACTTTTACAATGGTTTATTTCGATATGGTGTGATCCCTTTAATAAACAGACCAACACGAATAACAAGAAATTCTGCAACATTAATAGACAATATATTAACTAATTTTTTATTTGAAAACTCGTTAAAAAAAGGAATACTTAAAGCACCAATTTCAGATCACATGCCAATTTTCATATCCGCAAATACGTCAAATAAACAAAAACAAAAACAAAATAAAGTCACATTTACTAAACGCCTCCTATCATTAAACAATCAATTAGCGTTTCAAAATGAACTAGGAAATATAGACTGGTTTCCATTAGAATCATTCAATGATGCTAATTTCATGTTTAATAGCTTCCATCACAATTTTTTAAACTTGTATGAAAAACACTTCCGAGAGAAAGAAGTAACAATTAAAATTAAAAACTTAAATTCGCCATGGTTTAGTAAAGGTTAAAAAAAAGCTTTGAAGCGAAAACATCGACTGTACGATAAATATCAAAAAAATAAGTGCATAAAGACCAAGGCAGAATATAAAAACTACAGGACTTTATTTGAGAAAATCAAATGAACTGCAAAATCAAACTATTATAAAAAGCAACTTGAAAAGTGTCAATTAAATTCTAGGAAAACTTGGCAAGTACTAAATGAAATAATTGGAAAACCGAAAATCAATAAATCTTTCTTTCCGAAAATCTTACATATTAAAAATAAAACTATTGCCAATGAAAACAATATAGCAAATGAACTTAACAATTTTTTTGTGAATATAGGACCTAAACTTGCGGCAAAAATTCCAAATGTAAATAAATCATTTAAGGAATACCTTCATTACAATAGAAATCAATTAAAAAATGAGAATTTAACCTTTAAAGAATACGAAACAGCTTTTAAAAGTTTGAAACGTAATAAATCTTCTGAAATTGATGGTATAAACAGCAACATTGTTATTGACTGTTATAATGAGCTAAAAATGCCTTTATTTAAAATTTGTAAACTTTCTCTGAATGAGGGTATCTTTCCTGATATACTTAAATCAGCAAAAGTTAAACCTATATATAAATCAGGCGATAAAACGGATATTGGAAACTATAGACCAATATCTATACTTTCCATTTTTTCTAAGATTTTTGAGCAAATTATGTTCAATAGGTTATATGCATTTTTTAAAGATAATGACTTATTCTATTCAAAACAGTTTGGATTCCAGAAAAGCACTTCAACTGAACATGCAATACTTCACTTAATTAATGAAATAAAAAACTCTTTTCAAACGGAGAATTTACTTTAGGCGTGTTTATTGACCTCTCCAAGGCCTTTGACACAGTGGATCATAAAATAATGATAAAAAAGCTTAGGATGTACGGCATAAGAGGCGTATCCTGCAGGTAGATAGCAGATTACCTGAGTAAACGTACACAGTCTATATATTACTGAAATAAAAAACTTACAAATTCATCTTTAATTTCTTGTGGAATGCCCCAAGGATCTATTCTTGGGCCTCTACTTTTTCTAATATACGTGAATGATCTGTGGAGAGCGTCAAATATATCAACAATAATGTTTGCTGACGACCGTAACTTTTTTATTTCAGGAAAAGATATACCTCAACTCTTCGTACAAATGAACAACGAGTTAGATAAAATTTCACTATGGTTCAATGCAAATAAACTTTCTATTAATTTAAATAAAACAAAGTTCTCATTATTCCACCCTTTAAAAAAAAAAAAAAATTCCTATTTCTTTTCCAAAACTAGTTATTAAAAACACAGAAGTTAGTTGCGAAAGAGTCACAAAATTTCTTGGTGTTCTCATTGACGAAAATATTACCTGGAATAAACATATTGCCTATATTGGCAGCAAAATATCAAAAAGTATTGGCGTTCTATACCAGTCACGGGATTTACTTAATAAGCATCATCTAAAACAAATCTATTTCAGTTTTATACAAAGTTACTTGAATTACGCAAATATTTCGTGGTGTAGTACATCTAAAAGCAAGCTTGAAACACTCTATCTAAAACAAAAACTTGCCTTAAGAATAATGAATTTTAAAAATAAAAACGAACATGCAAAACCACTGTTCGAAATTATGAATATTTTTACGTTATACGAGATAAACGTTTATAAAATTTTATGTCTCATGTACAATGTAAATTTCAAGAATGCCCCTCAATTCTTAATGATCTTTATGAAATAAAACCTAACATTAAATATACTTTACGCACAACAGGCTTAATTGAACCATTGTGCAAAACTAAACAAGAAAAATTTAAAATTACGTATCGTGCTCCGCATATCTGGAATAAAATCTAAGCAAAGTATAGTAATTTACCAGGTGTAAACAATATAAGTTGCTTTCAAAAACTAATAAAAAAGAATATTTCAAAGTATACAAATCTTATTAATGATTTCTTTTAAACTGCTTTGTTTTTTC